CAAAAAAGCCTTGCCGATCACTGCTTCGTAGCGGCACTCGCTGGCGTCGCATGGAAGCTGTGAGCGGCTCGAGAAGGCCGGACGGCAGGGGGGGGGGGGTCTTGGCGGCCAAGATGTTGAAGATCTCTTTTCGAACGGTTCCGAGCTCCCCTTTTATCCCCCCCCCCCCCCCCCCGACTTCAAAAGCCCGGGGTCGTGTTGTCCGCGCAGCCAATCGTGTGCATACCTGTGGTTCCAGCTCTGCTTTTTCCCCTTTTTTTGCCCTTACATGGAACGTCGCAGCCGGTGCTTCTGCGATCCAGTCTGCCCCTCCGTACTCAGGATTTCATTACTCACCTTCGTTAATTTGGAATAACGCCCAACTGGCGAATACACTCTGCGAGTGTATATTCGGTACGGGGGTCGGGGGGTCGTGGCGCTGCACTCCCCTGACCTCATGGTCTGCCCTTCTCTCTTATTCCCCCCCAGCTTCTTCCGATGTCATGAATGATTCATCGCGGCTGGCCCGGTAAACCTTTTTGCGCCCATACACTATTAAGCCAACTCAGGGGCACCGTGATGTAAATTGTCCTGTGAGGGTCGGCCAAACCCCTGGCAACGGGAAACCGTGGGACTTTCCCGATAGGGACCCTTCGGATTAAAACCCGTTGTGCCAAGCAATCCCCCAAGCCAGGACACTACGTGTGTGCGCTGCGTGTGTACTCAGTGTGGGGGCCAGGGGGGAGGTCGCGGTGCTTGCAGAGTGGCTTCGAGGCCGTGGCACCGCACATGCTCAAGATCAGACTAACAAGGCAGAGGACGTCATCTATTATAAACTCCTTAACTGATTTTTTTTTAAACAACGGTTTTATTCACAACTTCGTTTAACTCGCGGTCGAGAAGTACCGTCAATGATGCGGCGCCTGCTCCCACATCAATGCTTACTTGAATAAATTGGTTATTTTATAAATTAATCTTCAATGTACAACTTTTGTTTGTGTTGAGAGTGCCCGTAACTCGTTCACACGGAGCAGGCACGCCTGAGACACGTGGCACCTGCTTCTTGGGCGAGGCGATTCGGGAGTTTAGGGACCACGGCGTTTTGACCTACAAAAAGATATATATAAATAATGCTTACACACAAATGTTAAATGCTTTAAAGGAGCCAATTAATTGATTAATTTATGCCGATTTATACAGGCATGCATTGTCTCCGGATCTGAGTACGTGTACAAAATTTGGAATGGATTGGACAATAGGAAGTAGACTAAATTTTGATTACAAGATTTGACTACGACAAACAGGAGTCAAGTAAAACTGTTGAAAAAAGCAGCGATGCCACCTCCATGCCCCCGTACTGGATACTCTCCATACCTCAGCTGCGCCTTGATGTTCTATCCATGAAAATCACAAACAGGAGTTGAGACAAGACACACCCTCAGCAGAGTCCAACACCCACAATGAACGACTCTGATTTCACACTAATAACATGGACACAGCTCTTACTCCGGGAATAGAGGGACCGGATAGCACACAAAAGCGGCACCGGTACATAATACTCCCGCAGCACCTCCCATAAGACATTGCGGGGAACACGGTCATATGCTTTCTCCAAGTCTACAAAGCAGAGATATACTGGAGAAGCATACTCCCGTAACCCCTGAAATATGAGAGGAAGAGCTGGTCCATTGTTCCATGACCATGGCAGAATCTACATTGTTCCTCCTGAATCTGAGGCTTGACCACCGGGCAGTGCCTCCTCTCCAGCACTCGGGCATAAGCTTTTCTAGGACGCTGAGGAGTGTGATTCCTCTGTAGTTGGAGCACACCCTCTGGTCCCCTTTTTTCAAATGGGAACCACGACCCCAGTTTGCCAAACTAGAGGTACTGTACCCGCCTTCCATGCAACATTGAAGAGGCGCGTTAACCACGACACTCCTACACTGTTCAACGCTTTCAATAACTCTGGCCGAATCTCGTCCAGCCCTGCAGCTTTGCCGCTATGAAGGCCCTCAACCACTGCAGCAACTTCAGCAACCACGATGGATACGACCCCCCCTTGCTGTTTCCAGGGCTGCCTCCTGAGAGGGCATGTCCACCGGGTTGAGGAGCTCCTGAAAGTGTTCCTTCCACCTTAGTTGAGATCAATGTTATGCCACCCTTACCAAAAACAGCCTGGGCCACGTCTCGTCGATCCCTCCTAAGGCGTCAGATGGTTTGCCAGAACATTTTTGAGGCTGCCCAGTAGTCCCTCTCCATGGCCTCTTCAAACTACTCCCATACCCGGGCATTAGCTTCAGCGACTGTTGCAGCTGCCGCCCTCTTGTTAAGTCGGTGCCTCTCAATTGAGTCGGGAGACCTTTTTCTGAGCTTAACTTGGAAAGCCTCCTTCAACTTGACAGCTTCCCTCACCACTGGTGTCCACCAGCGGGTTGTAGGGTTGCCGCAATGACAGGCACAACTGCCTTCAAGCCACAGCTTTTCGCAGCTGCATCCACAATCGAGGTCCTAAACATCGTCCACTCGGAATCGATGTCCACAACCTCCCCGGAAGTGCAGAAGTTTTCCCGGAGGTGGAAGTTGAAATTTTTCTTCACTGAGTGTTCCACCAAACATTCCCAGAAAACCCGCACTTATTAGTTTTAGCCTGCCCTGTTTATCTGGTTTGTGCCCAAGTGTTGAATCCAACTTTCCACGAGGTGGTGATCAGTTGACAGCTCAGCCCCTCTCTTTACCCGAGTGTCCAGAATATACGGCCTTAGGTCCGATGATACAACTATAAAGTCAATCATTGATCTTCGGTTCAAGGTGCTCTGGTACGAAGTATACTTATGAGCATCCTTGTGTTTGGATATGGTGTATGGAATTGACATTCCATGATTCGCGCAGAATTCCAATAGCATCGCACCATTCGGGTTCAGATCAGGGGGGCCATTCCTCCGAATCATGCCTCTCCAAGTATCTCCATCGTTTCCCACGTGAGCATTGAAGTCGCCCAGTAAGACTATGGAGTTGGTAGGCGGCATTCTGTCGACAACTGCACCCGTCTACAAAAAGGCCGAATACTCTTAACTGCTATTTGGTGCATACGCATAGACAACTGTTTTCCTTTCTTGAGGAGACCCTCTCATCCACTCAGACAAACTCCAACTGAACAGCACCCAGCCGGAGGCTTGTGAGTATCCGCACACCCGTCCGGGGCTTCTCACCAGGGGTTACTCTGGAATAGGAGACCACCCCCGATTGACAAGTTTGGTTCCAGTGCCAATGCTGTGTGTGGAGGCGAGACAGACTATATTAGTCGGTACCTTTCCACCTCCTTCACCAGCAAACTACTTTTGCATGGACTTCCATTATATCATTGTATATGCGTTCCTACACAATAATATGACACCAAGACAAAATAAAATCACACTTAAGAATGCAGCAAACCTTTTTAAAACACATTGAATGGAAAATCGATTTTATGATAAAATAATAACTCAAAACAAGTCACAAAATAAAAATACTGTACAGTTCATACATCCAAAGTTATTTTCTATTTTTGCACTTCTGCTATCACTTGCACTTAATGGCCTCTTGCCAGACATCTTGACTTAATTTTACTGTTAAAAAAGGGTGCAAAATCCTGCACAGTACAGTGTTAGGCGTGATCAACACAAAGGAACGAACCAAGACAAGCCAAGCTTGGACGGCACGCATAGCAGTGTGAAAAGTGAGCCACCCACACCACGTGGAACGGCATGAAATGCACGCCTGGCCAAATGCTAGACAGATCATTAATCAATCTTTTCCCCCAAATAATTTAGATTTGTTGTTTCATATGTTATGAAATATTAAAATTCCTATATATTGAGTTGAAGTATGAGGAATGAATGCACATACTGTACTACTTTAAGGTACGGTTTAGGTGGCAGAATTGTAGACAGGAGAGTATATATGTCAAGTATTTTCTCCCTTCCCTTGAATTATGGCAATTACAAGGCCCTCTACAAACATGTAATCGCGTCACACGAAAAGATAGACTGACGTTAAAAATCACTGCTCGAACTAGATTTTGGATGCATGGTTGATGGCAAACGGAGACAAAAATTTGACTTTTGATACCACAATCTTACTGTGGGGAGGCACACATCGAGCAGTGGAGAAATAACGGCTGATTATGATGCCAATTATGAGTACCAATATCAAAACTTTTAAAATATTAACATGAGCCAACACTAGTTTTCTTTGTTTATCCGTATGGGGAGTAAATTAATTTCTAATACTAATTTCACATTGTTATACAAATGCATTATTTGAAGCCAAATCATGCTGTGTTAATCTTTACAAAGATTGAACTAAATTATCTCTTGATTACTCTTTGGTTCTTTCGGCAAAGTCACGTAGATAGAAAAATAACTAATAGATCACGACGTTTCGATCGCAACACAAGCAATCATCTTCAGGTGAAACAATACAGCAGGTGGATTGCTGAGGCAGGAAAAAATGTAGCGAGAGAGCTATTGTAGCCAAAGGTTATATACGTTTGACGAAGGTACAACCAAAGGGTAAGTGGGCGGGGCTAGAGATGGCATTTGCAAGTAAATGTAAGATCGCAGAGCTAGGCATACCTCGGCTAGTCCGTGGGGGGGGAAGAAGACGAGGGGGAGGGGCTGCCGTAACAGGCGAGAGGGTGGGGGTGAAATTCAAAGAGGGAACAGGGTGAGAGAGAAAGAAAAAAAATTCGAACTTAGCAAACTTAGAAATGTAAAGCAACTCCAAGAGTCGGCCAACACAACAGTTAACACTTTACCTGGTTGCAACTCTCTGAGTTGCATTACATTTCTAAGTTTGATCTTTTTTCTTTCTCTCACCCTGTTCCCTCTTTGAATTTCACCCCCACCCTCTCACCCGTTACGGCAGCCTCTCTCCCCCTCCTCTCCCTCCCCCCCTCGGATTAGCCGAGGTATGCCTAGCTCTGCGATCTTATATTTACTTGCAAATTCCATCTCTAGCCACGCCCACTTACCCTTGGGTTGTACTCACCTAAAACGCATATAACCTTTGGCTACAGCAGCTCTCTCGCTACATTTCTTTCTGCCTCAAGCAGTTCACCTGCTGAATTTTTTCACCTGAAGACGATTGCTTGTGTTGCGATCGAAACGTCGTGATCTATTAGTTATTTTTCTATCTACGTGACTTACCGAAAGAACCAAAAAGTATGAATTCCTGCAGTCACAAAAGATTCAAATCAAGATATTATCTCTTGATTGTTTCTCCAATTAAAAAAAAATCATGTTAGAGTTTCAAGACAAAACTAGACCAGATTACATGGCTTCCCCTGGAATGGAGGCAGATTAATACATATTTTAGCCTACTCTACCACACTGGCCAGAAATCTTCTAAGAGGTGGGAGTTGCCTGCATTTCACCCCACCACATGCAACTTACCTATCGATAAACTGTAACACAACCTTACAATTTTCAAATGTAATGTCCGGGTATGTAAACGTCAAATATCCTGACAGCGCTGTCAGCTCCGGCGCTGGCCAGCTGTAGCCAGGCCTCGTCCTCAACATCGTCCGTGTCGCATCCCGCGCGCCCCACCCGAGGCCGCCAACGCAGCCGCTTCACAGTCAGCGTGTGCGACATGCTGCAGCAGAGGTGCAAAAATGATTATTCAAATCCACCGAAATGTTCAACAATTTAGAAAAAATTACGTATATGCATGTTGTATGTAAATGCTTTCCAACGTGCATTGGTCTTTGAAAGGATATAATTATGAGGATGGAAGGAAACAGTTTGCTGTTAGGGCTGATTAATTTGCATATTTGCAAAGAGTCCTTTTTGCTCTGGACTGTTTCTTCATGTTCTTGGAAACCCTTTCATAAATTTGGCTGGGTTTCAATTGAGTAAGTACCTGATTGCAACAGAACCTTATACTGAAATTTTTTTCATATTAGATCATCTCTATAGAGTGCCCCCCCTCCCCCTCCGTGTTACGGACGGTTGGACAGAGCTAATGCATTAATATTTAAACCTTATATTCTTAGCTCTTTCGGTAAAGTCACGTTGAAGGGAAACAATAAAATAATAAAATATATTGTTTTATATATTTTATATTTTAAATTATTGTTTTATATTTTTTTATTATTTTATTGTTTCCCTTCAACGTGACTTTACCAAAAGAGCTGAGAATATGAATTACTGCAGTCACGAAAGCTTTAAATCAAAATTTAAACCTTAGTTGGAAAGTGTAAAAAAATATTACATTCTCCAGTTAAACTTTAATGAGCGGTGACATGCAATTTAAGATTATTTGGTTCTTTCGTGACTGCAGGAATTACTCTTTGGTTTTTTCGGTAAAGTCACGTATAAAAAAGAAATAATAATAAAATAAAATTACATAATAGTATACATACGACGTTTCGATTGCAACGCAAGCAATCATCATCAGGTATAGAAGAGCTAAATTTAAGAGAGGAAACACAGAGAGATGGAGAAGCACATCAAATTGAACAAGATTTAGTAAATCTTGTCTTGTTGTTAAACGTTGTATGTATACTATTATGCAATTTTATTTTATTATTTCTTATTTATACGTGACTTTACCGAAAAAACCAAAGAGTAATTTAAGATGATATTTGTAGATACATTTACATTCAATGCAATTCCAAAACTGCTTACAGCAATGCATTTAATGGACTCCCGAGAATGCTAAATGGCATAAGCTACAGTTGCAAAAAATATAGGTGAGGAGTGGTCTGAAAAAAACAAGTGTATACATTTGAAAAATTATAATCTCATTAATAAAACATTGCATCCTATGCATGACATTAGGAAACACATTTCGCACATACACTAATGTGAATGTGTCGGGTGCATGCGATATGCAGATGTGTGCAGTGGGTTGTACTTTTTGCTGAAAGAGGCCCACGGTGTCCAGTCACGAAGAAGGGCCGAATCAGCACTGGCGTTCCACAAGTACAGGGAAATCTTCCCACTTTCCAACCCCACCGCCATCAAGTACCTGATCAACAAGAGATAATGCCCTTTTAGAAAATAACAGCAGGCTTAAACACGACGATGTACATTTACACAGGCCCACGTGTTTTTAGAGGCAAAACAACACAAATGGTTAGTAAGAATGTCTTGGGCCTCCGACATAGTGAAATATAGCTACTAAATTAAATTATTAGAGTGAATCAATTATAGCGTGTTACTTTTGGAGAAGTGCATGGACAACATTGAATATCAATTAAAGGACAGCACAAAATATTAGCACACTGAATTGTGTATTCTACCAATATTTTATGAAATGCTCGATTTACCTCTGAAATATAAAAGAGTTGTTCAACTGTACACTTGTTACTGCTCATCATATTACAAACGCAACTGGCAAAACCAAATTAACTTTAAAAAATGCCAATCTGCAGAAAAAAACGAGCTGAGGTTTCAGCTATTATAATTTTAGTTTTGGAGCAACAATTGTACCGGGGCTAAAAGTGGCATCATGACCTCAACTATACTTTAAATTTTAATAAAGCATCCCTTAAGGCTGGTTATACATAAACGTTACACAAGACACATTATTTCAGGAAATACATTGGTCAATAGGTGTAATGGATTGTAAGCATCGATTGCTAATGTGGGAGCTTCACTTACACAAAGGATAAATACATCAAAGTTAATGAAGCCATAAAACTTGCTGTATTTTTATATTTCATGCCACAAAAGGTGCCAATAATGCAAAAACAGAAATCCAAGATTAATCCCTCCACTTCTAACACAAAGGCAAAGAATATATCAAGAAAATAATCCTGCAGCAAACATTCCAGAGAAAAGAAAAAAGGAAAGATAACTTTCCTATGCATGTGAATGCTTTGTGAAATATGCACATTGCCGACGTCTGCGAAAACTGCTCGGTGACTAGAAATACTATCACTAGCCATGCTCAATCCACTACTGGCTAAAGGCATTCCCAAGCTCCCTCCACCTCTCAGAAATTATAAGTTAAGGTAAATAAAAACGTCAAAGGGGGCTACTCTGCCTATGGGATATATGAACAGAGCCATCAAACAGTGGATTTGCACAATTCAAATAACTTACATTTATGCAGAGTTAATTCTTAAATAAGATATTTTAAAATACCTTAAGACTGCCATCAATAGCAGATGACAAAAAAAAATCACTTGTAATTGTTGTTGTGTTTGCTGGTAATTTGATATATATTTTTTGCAAATGAAATGAAAACACAAGTTGTTTAAAAGTCACATTTTTATCGGCGCAAGAACATTCAAATTCTTGTTTCATGACATCTGCATCACCTGCCTTATCTGCCAGTTATGTAAAATGAGATTTCAGGGGAATCATCCTGCCAGCATAAAAGCCTTTTGGCCTGCTCTAAAGTCAGATGCGGCCTCCCTTGTGACAAGTCAGTGTAATTTTTAAAGCCAGAGGTCCTTATGTTTTGCCCGCTACAATCCATTGCAAAAATGTACTATCTCGCACACTTTTCCCAAAGCGATTGTGGTGCGCAAGGTTAATTGACTTTGAGCTCAGATGATTCGCTAGCACAGTCCTGTTTACACAATGTGTAGGGACAAAAAAAAATCACATTCATTTTGAAAATACAAATTTGGTCATTCTTGAATTAGTGTGACCCAAAAACTCGAATTCAATAACGTTAACGGATATGACACGCAAGATAATTACTATAATACAATAAACACAAAATGACAGACCCCACCGTGCTCAGCAGATATCGGTTTTCATATTCCATGCCAAAAAGTATCCACTCAAGTGATAAAAAAACACGGTATATAATTTAATAATAAAAAGACAATACAATTTAAAATAGCTTTCTGGCTATCAACCGTTACACAGCAGTACATGTCAATAACAGTGAAATGACGGGATGGAATTAGCATTAATCAATGTTAGTATTTGGTGTGTGGATGCAGCACTGCCAATTGTAGGTTTATGTCACTCTCCGCTTTTATTGTGAACCTGCCCCAGTACTCCAATAAATTTAAAGTGAAAAACAAAATTCTGCCAGCACACTGGCAAATTTAATAACTTGAAAGATACCAATTATTTAGAGCAGTTTACTTAATCTCGTCGTTGTTAATGCCTTACAAGTCAAAGATTAAGTAATTAAATCACATGGCAATATCATCTTGAATGGTAGCAACTTCAAAAGCTTAGCACCTTCTTTGACCCTGTACAAATGAAAAAAACCCAACCCATCTCATTCCCACAACTTGTGTGCATTTTACTTCTAAAGTGGTTACATAAACTGAGATTGCTGTATTTTCACGTGATGTCCCCTTACACCACCTCTTTCCAACATTTTCTTCTCCTTTCTAATGATGCGGAGTTGTTCAGCAACATTTATTTGTTCATGTTGAGGTTGATGAGCATGTGAATGGCTTCAAGAGTTGCCTGGTGAATAGCAGAAATGAGGCCAATGAATGGCCAAAGTGCTACAATAATGCCAATGGGTTCGATATTGGTGACCGCAGACAAACCGTGAGTTATTCCTAGTTTATCATTGGTGTAGGAGAAAGCCACATCTGCCATGTGACGTTCAAATATTATCACAGAACAAAACATACACTTCATTTGCTAACGCCATTTTCCAAGTGAATCATAACACTTCAAGTGAAAGTGTATGCGAGCCAAACTACACAGAGGTAAACGACAAATGTAAAGTTCTTTAGATGTCAATAAATTCACGCTAGTGAATACCTGCCATCACATGCCTCGCGAGGGGCAAATGCTACAGCTGTCGCAGAGTCTGTGGCGTCCAGGGCAGAGGAGCACTGGCAGATGGGGCCCATGGCACCTGTTGGAAACGCATTCTCCTGCTTGCCCCACACCACCACCTGGCACGTAAAAACAACTCAAGGTGAGAGAATTATTTTACATCTCCGGACAGACCAAACATTCGCATTCCCAGAGGGGTGTTACAGACGATACGATATGGTGAGGAATGTATATGTTCATGCACACTCCACATCGTTTGCTCAACACAATTCTATTTACGTGCCAAAATTAGCATACACCTAACACGTCACCTTCTTGTCTCTGCTGGTCGTCGTAAAATATTTGCCGTCGTGAGACCAGTCGCAGGCCCAGATGACGCGCGTGTGCACGGCCGTCTTCTTATCAGTGCTTGCGAGCAACCTGTATAAAGAGGCTAGACACACAAATGTATAGTTTTATACAATTCAAAAAGCCGGATCACTGGCAATATTGTCAATGCAATAAAAGGACTTATCGGATTGTTTTGTTTTATTGTGCCTAAAGCTTTACATTTCAGAATGGGTATGAACCTTGTAATGAAGAATATTCTGCATTATGAAATATACAGTTGGAGAAACACGTTATATTTCATGCTTACAAGAAATTAGTGATTAACATGTATTTGTACAAAACTGATTAGGGTTCCACATGTTAAAGAATATTTAAGACAAATGCAACAATAATGTCAAAACTACATTGTTCAATTGCATGTGTAGTGGGTTCAACTGAGTCGCAGACATACTTCTTGGAGGCAACACATTTATTATCACCAACACATAACACAAAAGGGTTAGTGCCCCTTCACCAGATAACCTATGGTGGTGGACCACCAGGCTAACTACGCTTGTTATTGGGAGTAGCTACAACGGACAGGACCCTAGCTGGGGTCCTCATTCACGTGTTGGTGACTTCTTCTTGGATGTAGATCGTAGATCTTCAGATGACGGCAGCAATGCTGAACCCCGGTCCCCTGTGCAGACCCCGGTTTATGTTCTGCTAGGTCGTGGCTGGCCCCACCCTTGGCCAGACCACCTTCGAGAAACCTCTTGTCGTTTCTCGACCAATCCCGTAGGATCTCACCCTGACACGTGACCACCCCCAAGCCCCCACCTGGGGCCCTTGTGTAGATCTTACTGGTCACGTGCCTTCCACGGTCAACCAGAGTGCCATGGCCTAGGGTAACCTTATCCCATGGCTGACACTCCCACACTCCCTCCTGTAGGAGTCGGCACTACACGCCACGCGTGCTGCCACTGCGCTATCCCAGTGCTGACCGAGCCCCCTCTAGGGCTGGTACTACACCCACCTACGGGGTGTCCGCAATGACAATGCATCACACGCCGTACCTCGCTAGAGCCAGCATCACACAGCGACATACACGATGTCACTACACATGTCTAACTCATTCGGCTCTTGGCGAAAAACGGTACACTCTCTCTACAACAAAGTGCTAGAATAAATCTGAGAGTATCAGACATACTCTTTGGTTCTTTTGGTAAAGTAACGTAGGTAGAAAAGATAAATAATAAATCACGACGTTTCGATCGCAACACAACCAATCGTCATCAGGCAGAAAGACACAGCAGCAGACTAATGAACAGCAAAGGGCTGTTGCAACCAGAGGTTATATACAGGTTTGAGGTGGGTGTCACCCAAGGGCAAGTAGACAGTTTACTTGAAATATAACCAAAAATTATATGTCAGAACAGAGAAATAAGCCAATTTCCACACTTGCAAAAGCCACTTACTCAACTTAAAAATAGCAATCTCACACACAAATGTGATTTTAAAAAAATTCTTAAATTTTACATTCTGACAAAACATTATCTTTTCTTTTCAACTGAGTATCTATCTGCCTATGGTGGAGATTTATAATTACTGTATGAGCATGACTGATTCAACTCTGGAGTTACCACCATGGTCAAATTTATGATGTGCTGTGACAACACCATAATAAACATAGGACAGAACGTCTTTTCAGAACACCACTTATAATCGTATCCTATTGTAATTGAGAAACAGCTGCAATAGCTAATTCAAATACAACTATTGACACGGTGGTAATAATCTACTGAGATGTGCAAAGTTTAAGCTAAAATTAGTCCTTTAAGGTCTTGCATGTGGATAGAGTAAAGGGAGTGGTGTCTTCAGTCTAAAAGGTCAGAAAAAAATGTTGGTCTATAAATATCTTGGTGTTTAAATATGAGCAGAGTACACAACATAACGTGACCCCTGAAAATCGTGGGCAACAGGATATCACACAGGTCGGTGGAACCGGTGATGACAGTGCCTCTCCATGCACTGTGAAGAGCCACATTGGCCATGCTAATATTCTTCTAAGCATTGCTTAAACCATCTAAAACACTCTCCTTCCAGGCTATCCAAAGCACTTACAATTATTCTATTTTTCCGTATGTAAATATATTGAGCTAAATGCCACAGTCGAGGTCTGCTAGCTATAAATGGGTTTCAGGAGAGAGTTGGTGTAGTTTTGCAATTCCTCTGTTGAAGGAGCGCAGACTACAGTGGATTATTATATGGTATATCGTTTAGATTGCATGGCCACAATCACACTGTGGCTAGTATTTAATTATCCATTTATGAAGAAGTGCACATCAGCCTGTTGATGTTCTGATGCAGTTGATGGTACACCATGTCTTATAAAAATGTCCCAAAGCACATACAATGACAGCATCATGCGACTACATCTCTTTCTAACAACCTACTCAAGAAACCATACGTTATACAAAAGACGTGAATAATATCACGAGTGCTACAAATGGCTAATCGTCATATTCTTGGTTGAGTGAAGCTCTGCAAACCTTATCAATAAGTAGGCACACCACTCTCGCGCATATATGTTGGACACACTAAATATATTTATAAATCCCATCAGATTTATCTATTAAGTACCATACAAATTCAAACCATTTACAAAAAAAAACACTTCGACCCTTTGAACCGTTGATGGAAAATGATTGATATGACACTTTGTCGGTTCACATGTTTGCCAAGAGTTTTGAGCCAGTGAGGTTCAGCTACACCATCTTTCTTACCTTATTAGTGCCTTCATTGATTATTTTGCAATGGCACCAAAATTAAAACTGCACCAATACACATCATTAACTTTATCTTTATTTTTTGCTTTGCTTTCACATATACAGTACAGTATTTTTTTTCATTCTGTACATTTTCTGTAAGAGTTACATTTAACACTATAGAAAATATTACTCAGACTTACATGAAAAAATACTTCCTGTTTCATGTTTGGGTTAATGTAGGGTAACATAAAACAAAGGGGTGGGATGGTGTCATATTACGAACCGTGAACCAAACCACAGTTTTCCCATTGATGCCTTCGAGTTTGCGGATTGCGGATTTGCTGACTGTTTCAAAAACGTAACCTGCACAGATGGACAAGGTTTTTGTGTACTGTGTTTAGCAATTCATTATGATTTAAGTTTTTTTTTAATGCTAATAAAAGTATTGAATAGTAGGAGAGGGACCAGTGACATAAGCAGAATCACAATGGTCAGTTTATTTACATATTAATTTTACCCATGTTCATACATCCATGCCAACTACATTAAAGGAATTATGATCAAGCAATATGACCACTAATTACGTCAGTATGATGACAATGTCAAATGTTCTTACTGTGACATTTACTTATTATCAAATTAAATAACTTCACTGAATTTGATTCGGCTCCATTTCACACTTTGGCGTAGAGTCACATCGTTATGAAATGACCAAAACCTACTGCCACCCTGATGATTTGCCCCATTGCTGTTTGCACAATCATGGGTGTATTTTTGCCAAAAATTTACATTTGTCAAAACGAAAATCGGTCCCATTCTATATCATTATAGGTATCATTATGAGTTATGGCACACGCTGCCAATATGAGTTCCTTTCACCTCTGATGCAATGCAGCATAGATTAATGCAGAGATGCAAATATAATAAAAACACAACCGCTAAAACAAAAATGTGTCACATTAGAATTCATGATTAAAAATGATATTCTTCACAATGTTGTGGATTCATTATTCAACACACCGGTGGGCTAAAGTAGTGAGGTATTTGTCTTTTGTCAACGTGACACTTTTTTACTGATTGGCCATGTCGGGTGGTGGAGGATTACGACACATTTATAAATAACGCGATCTAACCCAAAAACGTTTTTTTATGAACATTATTCCACTTTGACTGGACAACTACTTCAGGCCAAAAACTCCTCTATGGATGAAATGGAAAGGCCATTAGTCATTTCATGTGAAACAAACACATATTTTTAGTGGATACCAATCAGTTACTCAAACAATACTCAAGGGAAGGCTGACATGCTCACAACATATTGCACAGCTTAAAATTGCTCGTAAATATAAATTGAATTAAAAAAGCAATCCAGTCATATATGTTAAGAACTCTAAAAATAAACCTGGCAGGGATGGTTGCCAATAGCTATGGGTAATCGTTCACAGGCGACTGACTGCCTCAGCCAGATTACTGTTTATTGCTTTTGCAAAGTATGCCCTGACCTTGACCTGAAGATGCAGCTGTGATGGGAAAACTAGCCCATTATTTGCCTCATGACCCAACTCCAAATTATGTAAATAGGGCTACTTGCTTCAATTTGACTGTTTTACCATAGATAGTTACTGTAACTTTTCTTCTTCATTTACCACAATAATTTAGCTTCTAAATTGCTTCCATTATATCATTGGAGATCTGTTCACATGGGGAAAAAATCAGCCCCAAAACATAAGATCATGCTAAAGAATGCAGGAATACTTTTTTTCATGCACATAATTAATGTAAAACCAATAATTTTACAAACAAATATTAATACTCAAATAATTTGTGGAAAAGCTAGTAGTTTGTCAAGGGAAAAAGTACGGTATGATAACTGCACACAAATGACCTGGAGCAGTATGACATACATATGCTGGGACAAACTAGAGACCGTGCATTTGTTTATTCCCGCCCCCCCCCAAAAAATCATAATTTAGATTCCAAAATACGTGAATGCAAATTTACTGTAACATTTATCGAAATGGTTCCCAAATTTATGAGTTATGTTTTAGCGACATTCTGTATAGAGTTTTGGTAAAACGAGGGATTACTGTACTTCCAACAATCATCATGTAGGAAAGGACTAAAGCAGGAAGTTATTTTTCCCCAATTACATTACTTAAATAATTATCAAATAGAGCAAGTCAAGATCTAAAAGTATCTTGGGGTCATCCTGGATTCTAAACTGAATTTTGAAGATCACATTGATTATATTGGTAAAAAGACAAAAATAAAAATTGGTTTTCTGTATCAAAACAAGCACTGCTTCCCCCCTATGTTCCGTTTGGAATTGATAAAAGCTACCATACTGCCCCTACTTGATTACTGTGACATCGTGTATAAATCAGCCCCAAGTACTGTACTGAAGAAGCTTGATTCCATCTATCACTCGGCCTTAAGATTTACATTGAACTGCCCATATAGGACTCACCACTGTGATCTCTACATTGGGTCAAACTTAACATCTCTTAATGTTCGACGGCTTGTGCACCAGATTTTATTTATTCACGATGTACTTACAAAAAAATCCGCAAACTACCTGCTGCATCTCCTCTTTGTTTCAAAGAACAAATTTGACCTCAGGTCTTCGCTCATGTACCAGCTTCAATTCCCTATTGCCATACAAAAACTGGAGGAAGGGCCTTTTTGCTATTGATGCCCCCAGGATCTGAAATGCTATTGCCAATAAACTGCAACTTGAATCACTACCTATGAGATCTTCACTCAAAACTGCTCAAGAGGAGTTGTACACCCCTAGCTGCTACTGCTATTCAGTGACCTAAAATAAAATAATAAAATGTTTCGCATGAACGAGATGTTTTCTCGTTCATGTTTTTGTTTTTTGTTTGTTGCGTTTGCACCCGATTCAAGAGCCGAATGGCTCACAGGGCTATACCAAATAAATAAAACTGAAAAAAAACTAACATTCCATGCACATGCATAGTTTTCTCCTAACTTATTTACATATTTTCAATTGCTATGAGTAAAAAGAACATACTTCTTCAATGGAGATTTAAAAAAAAATATTCACACTGACAAATAATATAATTGGCCTGTACATATTGTGAGAGAATGACTAACCATACATTACACATTGGCGTACAAATGTTGTGACATCACGGATGTCACTGTGTGGTGCCGGCCCTAGAGGGGCACGGCGTGCGATGTACTCACATCGCGGAAATCACGTATGTAGCGACATCGTGTATGTCGCCGTGTAATGCCGGCTCTAGCGAGGCACGGCGTGCGATGCATTGTCATCGCGGACACCCCGTAGGTGGGTGCAGTACCAGCCCTAGAGGGGGCTCGGTGAGCGCTGGGATAGCGCTCAGTGGCACTACGCGTGGCGTGTAGTGCTGACTCCTACAGGAGGGAGTGTGAGAGTGTCAGCCATGGGATGAGGTTACCCTAGGCCATAGCACTCTGGTTGACCCTGGAAGGCACGTGACCAGTCAGATCCACACAGGGGCCCCAGGTGGGGGCTAGGGAGTGGTCACGTGTCAGGGTGAGATCCTACGGGAAGGGTTGAGAATCGACAAGTGATTTCTCGAAGGTGGTCATGGCCAAGGGCGGGGTCAGCCATGACCCAGGAGCATATAAACCGGGGTCCACACAGGGACCGGGGTTCAGCATTGCTGTCGTCATCTGAAGATCTACGTTCTACGTCCGAGAAGAAGTCACCAACACGTGGATGAAGACCCCAGCTAGGGTCCTGTCCGTTCTAGCTACTCCCAGTAACAAGCATAGTGAGCCTGGTGGTCCACCACCATAGGTTATCTGAAGGGGCAGTAACTCCTTTGTGTTATGTGTTGGTGATAATAAATGTGTTGCCTCCAAGAAATCCGTCTGCCACTCGGTTGAATCCACTACACAAATAACAGCATAAGCAAAAAAAAATCCCTGGAATATTAACGAACCTCACTGTATTCATCTGAATAATCTCATATTGAGGACCATTCATGATATACGTTTACAAATTAATTCACATGTCCCCACTGAAAAAACTTGGTGTAAACAATTATTTCCAAACAGTTTATTCTTCTTTGAATTACCACTATAGAGTAGAACCCCTCTTAACGACGGTAATTGGTTCCACGAAACCAGTCAAGTGATTTGGTCGTTCAGCGAGTATAGGAAGTACATGTTAAAGGCTTAATTAGTTCCGATACCATCGAAAGTTACCCATTTTCACCCAAAAAACGTATTTTTATCATATTTAAACAATGGAATATTAATACATAAAGATACTAACATTATAAACACATATTAAAATAAACATGGTTAATTAATGCATTAATTTATATTTACTGTACCCACAACAGCCCGTCGTTAACAGAGGAATGGTCGGAAGCGAACACATTGGTCTCTATGGAGGTACTAGACTATGAAACACTACACATACTACACTACTATACACTCCACATTGGGCTCTATGGAGGCCCGTCGTTCAGCGATTAGTCATTAACAGGGGTGGTTAAGAGGGTTCTACTGTACAAGCATTTCTGTTTACTTCATGCTCATATGTGCTCAGGAGACATTTATTGTAACAGATCATCACGGCTAAATGCCAATTATTAAAATCACGCCATGCCACCACTTCCTGCCTTTTGGCAGATAGCACAAATGTTTCATAATTCCCAACCAACCTTCCAACGTCTGCTTATGCAGTATCTTATTACCTTGGTCTCAGGTCTCTGGGTGCCCACTCTAGTGCCTGCCTTGGTCACATGCCATCCTCCATCTTTCACACAAGGTCCAGCCACCAACTTCCTCTAGGCGATTATAATGCTTAGCAGGCAGATTATATTACAAACTCCCAAGTTACCCTTTTTTCCATGAATTGTTATCAAATGTTCCAATTGTGCCAATGTTGTCATGCTATGAGATTAAGAACTTTCTATTTAACTCTATCAGCCAGCAGTATATCACTCTATGTGCGAGGATTGCCCCTGGTATATGGTTTCACAAAAGTATTTTGTGAGTCTTCCAATCTTGCCCATTAGCCACACTATATAATTAAGCCAAATGTTGCTTTACACTCAGAGCTAGAATAAACAAAATTAGCAAACCAAATGTATTATCAGTTATTTTTGTATGTGCAGTCATTGGTTAGTAGGGTGAGACAGTCTGGATGCCAAGATTTTACCCAGTCTCTCAGTGGTGCTGCCTCAGTGCTCTGACATGCTATTGGATTGCTGTCATCTGGCCATTTAACAGTGTCTGCATACACCTAGAGAGTTTAACCGGCAGAAGATTATTTTCTAGTTGCACTGTTATTCTGGCTCTCTGACCCAGATAGTAACACAAACATTGCTCCTGTTGCAAACATCATTCCTGACCAGGAAAGGGGTTTCTTTAATAATTTTTACCGTCATCTGTCTGTGGCTGTGACGCGTCCCGATGGCGCCAAAGAGACCACGTCCGATCTCTGGAAACGGCCAAGAGGCAGGATCCATCAGGTGAAAATGCCAGCTGAGTGACTGTGAGGCCATGGTATGATAAGATGCCCACAACACACCATGTCTCGGCATCCCACAGAAGAATTGTTGCGTGCTCCGGCTTGGATGCCTGCCGGAGGGCATGACATTGTGCCACTTAATAAACACATGCGGTTAAAAAGATACCAAAATACAAAGAACAAAAGGGACATCTTGACAGCCTTAGTGGTCAGTATGCTGGGAAAAGGGGCACTTTATAAAATTGGGGTAGACACAAATAACCTCTATTTAATGGAGACAAAACAACCATTAGCATCATTGTGGAGAATATAAATAACAAAAAAGATCAGCAGACAATGTCTTCTTCCTATATCTTGCTCTCCGCATAAAATATATATGAAAGCATTTCTTACACCACCTGTCGGCCTCACAGCCTTCTGGGAAAGCATAATATCTGAAGCACTGATTCAGTAGAAGCAAACTCTGGACCGGTTTCAATTGACAAGTGTCTCATCAGCAGTCAGGCTTGCTTTAATTCATGCTGGTACATTACCAGATGTGATAGGCAAGGAAACAAATGACGAAATGTGCAGTGGACACCTACTGGCTATATGCCCATGGATGATGATGATGATGAATAGGCAAGGGCCCTATTCAGATATGGGTCCTCATCAGACAAAACACAATATCTCAAAACCAGTCGAGTTTGCTTGCACTGAATCAATGGAGGCTGTAGGGAAAATCATAGGCCTTTGTGTCTCGAGAGACAATTCTTTTTGCGCCTTATGAGGTCAGCTGTAGGTTTTGCAGTGCCTAGAATGACTTAGTAGGCCAATCCTTGAGTGACAATCCTTGCCACAGCAATTGCAAGTGAATGAGGTGGTAGCTCCAAAAATAGGTTGTGTAAAATAATACTAAAAAATGTACGTGAAGACATTGTCTGTGTATCTATTCTCTCCACTTGGAACAGCTTCAATGGATATGATTAAAGTAAAACAACATAAAATTTTGATACTCATACTCTTTGTTTTTTTTGGTAAAGTAATGTAGGTAAAAAATATAAAAAAAATATATAAAATAAATTAGAATGAAAACAAATCAATTAAATCACGACGTTTCGGAAGCAACACAAGCAACCGTCATCAGGTGTTGACTGCTCCAGCAAAATTCCTGAGGCGCGTGAAGAGAGTTCAGGTGCCTCAGGGTGTTGGGGGGGGGGAGGAGTCAAGGGGTCGGGCCTGTGGCAAGCAGTGTGGACGATCGTGCACGGGAATAGCATGAGTTAAGCCGATAGATAACCATCTGTATTCTTTTGTGAAGTCAGGGGAGGGGAGTTTGTGCACGTGTGCAATGCCTGCCCGACGAGTGATGGTGGTGTATCAGGCTGGGAGTAAAAAACTGGAAGAAATGGATATGGCTGTACAATTATAAGGCAGCAAAAGTTTGACTTGGTTGATGACATCTTTCCAATGATTGCTTAATTTAAAACCATCCTCTCGGTTGAAGTTGTGTCTATGTTTGTATATCTGGATGGCTTCATGGTTAATTCTTTGGTAGTATCTGGGAGGTTTGCAGAGTACTTTGGTATCGGAGAAAACAATATCATGAGAACCCGCTGTGTTGAAACAATGATCAGCTACGGCCGAATAATTCGTTCTGCCGTGTTTCAAATCTGATTTGTGCTCGTGAATTCGGTCATAAATATGTCGTTTCACCTCCCCGATATAGCAATTACCACAGGTGCAACTCAGTTTGTAAACACCGGGGTACTGCAAGTCAGGAATGACATCCTTTACGGATGGGATCAGATCACGGATTTTGTGTACTGTATTGAATCGGACCTGGATCTTGTGTTTCTTTAGAATTTTGGAAATCTTTTTGGTAACGCCAGCTATGTATGGCAACGTGATGATTTTGATCGTAGTTTCAGGGGGTTGTTTCTGCATGGTGGGAGAAACAGCTTGGCGGATAGTACGGTCAGAGTATCCGTTCATCTTGAGGGCCAGATGTACATGTTTTAATTCACTGGCCAGGTGGTGTTGGTCAGAGATGCAGTGGGCCCTATGGTATAGTGTTTTGATGAGGGAATTATTTTGAGCTGGGTGGTGGTGGGAATCAGGCTTCAAGTAGGAATCTGTGTGGGTGGCCTTCCTGTAAACCGAATGTCCCAAAGAGCCATTGGGCCTCCCCTCAAACAGAACATCCAAGAATGGTAGCTTGCCATCTTTCTCCACTTCCATGGTAAATTTGATGGATGGGTGTCTGGAATTGATGTGGTCCACTCCCCTGACATCATAAAAGAATTACCGATGGTTAACTATCGGCTTAACTCATGCTAATCCCGTGCACGAACGTCCACACTGCTTGCCACCGGCCCCCCCCCACCTCTTGACTCCCCCCCCCGAACACCCTATATAAACACGTTGTCTCATAATAACTCTCTTCAGGCGCCTCAGTAATTTTGCTGGAGCAGTCAACCACTGATGACAGTTGCTTGTGTTGCTTCCGAAACGTCTTGATTTAATTTATTTGTTTGCATTCTAATTTTTTTAATATATATTTTTTTACCTACGTGACTTTACCGAATAAACCAAAGAGTATGAATCCTTGCAGTCACGAAAACTTCAAATCCAGAATAAAAATTTGACTTAAAACTTTCGTGACTGCAGAAATTCATATTCTTGGTTCTTTCGGTAAAGTCACATAGATAGAAAGTAAAAGATAATAAAATAAAAATAAAATAATGAATTGAAAATAATAAAGCAAAAACCCACAGCGTTTCGATCGCAACACAAGCGGTCTTCATCAGGCAAAACGTCGTGGTTGTTGCTTTATTATTTATATTTTAAAATTTCATTTTATTATTTTTTTATTTTATTTTCTATCTACGTGACTTTATATAAAACATTGTAGACTTTATATAAAACATTGTAGAAATTATTCATTATCCAAAGCTGCTTATATTTCTGCAAATGCCAGAAAATTATGTACAGTGAGGGAAAAAAGTATTTGATCCCCTGCTGATTTTGTATGTTTGCCCACTGACAAAGAAATGATCAGTCTATAATTTTAATGGTAGGTCACAAAAGCAAAGTTTGTGGGGAATAATAGCCATTTTCTATACTTTTTAGGCATAAGCAATAAAAAATAACACTTACTACCCAGGGACAAAAATCGTGTTACATAGTGTTATCAACGCTATTGGTCAAGAGTGGCGTGTGTACAGACCTTACAGGATGATGCTACCAAACTCCCTGCTGGATGAGCTGCAACACTGAATACTTCATAGCCATGACCATACCTGCAGACAAATAACAAATGCAGAGAAAAAACTGCAATATTGCTATCCACAGCAGGAACAGAACTAATGCTTCACATCATTCATTAAAATTGATTGCTACACTTACATTTGCATTTTAATCATGTGTGAGAATAGAATATTTTTCATGTGTTGAGACAAACTTGATCACTACAGCCACTGGAGGCACTAGCATTATTCTTGAAATAAAATTGCGATCCTGAATTCTAACAATCGAATCGTGCAGGGCGATGCAAATAAATACCTGTCTAACTCACATTAATAATAAATAAATCACCACACATATTGATGGTTAATCTTGTTTTGAATAATTTTCCAAGAAAATATTTGAGTGGAAATATATGCAGGTTTTATTAAGAGTCAACACTCACAGCTTTTGCACTTCCGGCCACAGGGTGTTCTGCAGTAGATGGTCCTCCATTGGGGGTTCTAAGCAAGCAAGTGGAGGAGTGTTATGTCAATGCGACATATTCGTAGCTCTTTCGGTAAAGTCACGTTGAAGGGAAACAATAAAATAATAAAATATATAAAACAATAAAAATTATCACGTTTCGATTGCAACACGAGCAATCGTCATCAGGTGGGACAAACACAGCAAGAACAAACTGCTGCCTTAGGCGAGAGAACTGCCGTGGCATGAGGTTTTATAGTAGGCCTCGGCAGTAGGGGGGGGGGGAGAGAGAAGGGGGGGGGGGCAGAACGTGGACCCCGCAGCAGTATCCGGGCCACTGGGGTAAAGTGGACCACCGCGGCATGCGGTGGTCCACTTTAAATCAAAATTCAATCAAAATTCAATGCGACATGTTTATCCATTTGCCAATTACTGTTTTGTAATCATCACACCATCGATTAGCACGGTTGGCTACGTAAGGTGCAAAAGAAGTTCAACATACACACACATCACAGGATATTCTAAAGCACGGGGGTCACGTGGGTGTGTTGCAGTCTTACCTTGTAAAGCAACGGCTTGGAAATACATCTCTTGATATTGCTCATTGGCTGACACCTCTATCTCCCGATCGTCATTCGGCCCACCTCGGCAGGTCACAATGTCTGCTTTCAGGTCGTGGTTTGTAAAAAAAAGCAAAAAAAAACACATTTTAAAGGGGTGTTTTAAAAAAGTCACTTCAACTATTGTACAAATTATCACAAATAAAACGTGTTGTTTTGGTGAGCTTTACGATATAAAAAAATGTGTAGGAAGACAGACATGAAAAAAATACCTTTATATACAGCCTTATTCGACAGACCAAGTGCAGGAACACTTGCTCCCTCTGGCAAATCACTGCTCACCTAAGGAAGTTACATTTATAGTAAAAAAAATGGCATTACAAATAATGTTTAAGTAAAGAAAACTGTACTTTAACATATCACAACAGCATGTTCAGTGAATTATTTCTTTAATAAACTAAGAACAGCTTCAATGAACTTCATTGCTCCAGGAAATCACACTCGGGGTGCGGGCCTTTCACTATTAAACAATAGCAAACCATTTGTTTTGTAACTCCAGAAGACAACAGCTAACATTCAACTCCCACGTCTCCCTCCCAGTCCTTTGTTGCTGACCCCCTACCTAATGGCTTCACCTGCAAAAAAAAGACTAAAATATTAAAAGTAGTACATATTCTTAGTTCTTTCGGTAAAGTCATGTTGAAGAGAAACAATAAAATATGTTTTATATATATTATTATTATAATAAAATATATGTTTTACATATATGTTTTAAATATATGTTTTACATATATTTTATTATTTTATTGTTTCCCTTCAACGTGACTTTACCGAAAGAACTAAGAATATGAATTACTGCAGTCACGAAAGCTTTAAATCAAAATTAAAAGTAGTGTCACACAATTGGGTAGCGCTGGTCCACGACTCGTGTGTTCCTTTTGTCTCACCCCGGCGGCAGTGGGAATCTCTTGTGCTTGGTGGCCACCAATGCTTGCCAGGTTGTGCAGGAAACTTCGAGGGGCGGAAAACACTCGCAGGACCTTCTCGTCAGCACCCGATATAAAGCGGTGCTTACCGAGCGGCGCCAGGCATTGCATGTCGTAGCCGTGGATTTGTGGCCGCGCGACCTCGTGCCATGTCACCTGCACACGTGGATACCAGGATGCATGTATGTATGTTGAACCTCTTTCGCACCATACGTAGCCAACTGCGGCTAATCGGAGGTGCATACATAACCCAGGGTTGAAATGTCGCTATTCTGATCGGGAAGTTGTTTGGTCTCGAAAGTGGTGACATTAGTTTGCTAACAAAGTAAGCATGCTTAACAGGGAGAAATGCATAACAGCTGCCACTATTATTTCTCCGCATAACATCACCATCCATATATAATAAAACCAGTGGAACTTACATTCTTAAAGAGTACAGGACATCACACATTCACCCTGATCAATTAACCACCCATGCTCAGTGCTGTATTTAAACATTAATGTAACTGTAATTTTCCATAGATATTCACAAGTCTGACCTTTTAATATACTCTCGTGTATTCTTAATTTTGTGTACATTTGCTTAATTATAAAGCACAGAAAAGCATTTTCCAATGTTTAATGCAGTCTGCACTTTAAAATTCTCAGGGAACCTATTTGTGCCTCGGCTTAACTGTTGTTCCCTATAGAAGTTCACAGTAGACCATTTTTACATATCCGCCTCTACACCTCAGTTCCCAGAGAGAGAGATATGACATTATCCTGTAATGCGGAGCACGTGTTCTGTAAAACGACACTGCTAATGATTACCTGACAGCGGTCTCTTTTCCACGGTGCAAAGAGTCGAGTCGTCTGGTCAGAACTCACACTCAGAATATATCCTCCTTTTTCAGGCTCCCAGCACAGATCCTGGACTGGCCCAAAGTGTCCCGAGATGACAACCCCCGGCCTCCACTCCTCCTGAATGGCACGGCACCAACGTCAAATCGGCAAGCGTGGCACATGAGGCGTGCGTCAGCTGACACGATTATTCTCTATCCAGGTGCGCCGAAAGCAGGCATTAAGTTACCTTCTGCTGACAGTCACTGTGCCAGAGATGAAGGGCACCGTGGAACGCGTGAGCGATAATGGCAGTGCCCTCGGCGCTGAACTGACAGCCCAGGAAGCCCAGCGTGTTCCCTCCCACCTCCCCCACACGTACCTGTGGAAGCAATCAAACCAGCACCGGGTTGGCAATTCATTATCCAAAGACCCACTTGCAGCCATGAATTTGAGATATGTGGGTATGAAAAATATTTGCACTGGTGGCGTTACACAATGCATCTGTTCAATTAACAGCAAAATTTGCTGAATATCGCAGCCTAGATTGTTTTCCAATGCATATTTAAATATGTTCAATATTCCGAGTGTGATAATTGCTACTTTGCAACACAATTAAAACAATCTATTTGCTTTGTACACGATGTGGGTGCCTATTAAAATAAAAAAAATTAGAGACCTCCCACACATGTCGAAACACAGAACTATTAATCATGAACAAATCCAACAAAATCAATCTGCACCCATGTACATTTACATGATGTAAAAAATGTCCCGTACAAATATTTCTATTACAATTTTAACACCATTCAGTTAAATATAGTCAGGGTATATTGCAGCTTCACCAAGTCAACATCTAAAGGTGCACCCCTGAAATGTCTTGCTCACTCCACTGTTGTTTGATGGACCTCCACTAGACGCAGATCCAGAGGTCCCCCTTCTCAAGGGAATATTTAGCCTACCATTCCAAGCTGGCCAGATATCTTTCAAGCGGTATGAGTACCCACACTCTTCCCCACTACACGCGACCTGTCGGTTACCTAATTGTCCTGTACCCATTTATACTGCTGGATGGACAGAGGCGAGGGAATACATTTAGTCCGTTGTTTAATTTTGGAAACATGCCCTAGGAGATCGAATCGGCGACTTCTCAATTGTCCAGCATTTATGAAACTGAAATACAAGAGCTAAATGGCAGACAGCTGAAAAGTATATATTTTTTAGATTTGGCAATAGAATATCATACGATAAATGCGTGGATTTTTTGCCGTTTTAATTAATTGATAAATGATTCAGGAAGGTTAAATATGCACATTTTCTCAGTTTACTTGGCAAGTTCAAGTTGTAAGTTTGTAGGCATTCAAGATTCATGACATCTGTATTCAAGGACAGGAGTACACTGCCAAGGACTTTGTCAGAGCTTGGGAGCTTTCACTGGCACGCTGAAAATACAGAAAGAGGTATGCTGCCGACAGCCCAGATGAATGTGAACCCTTTGTACTGCTGTTTGGTTTTGCTTCTGTTTTGACACTTTCTGGATAGCCTGCTCTATTGAAAACTCGAGCGCAATTTTTATCACATCCATGTTTCCTGCATGAAAGAATATATACACACTTGAAGACACGCCAACCCTTTGACTTCAATTGAGTTTCTCTCTGCAAGCTATGTGTGATCGAAATAGATTTTTTAAGGTCACCTAAATATTTCATTGCTGGTGATGACAATAAAATAGGACCAGCATTTAAATGTGTTATTGACTATAGCATCAGACCAATGCTTATGCTTGTATACATTTTTTTGTAAACTTTATACGTATATTTGCTTTTCAAAGGGAGAAACGATGAGGAGCGTATTTATAAAATGTAAGTTGTTTGTGAATGCCAACGACAATTCAGTTATTTGTAGTTTCGGCGAAACTGAAGCTACACAATCCTTTTTCATGACCTTTTACTTCTCCATTCTTCTCTAGCTTCAAAACAGGGTTTGCTGTTTGCTGCAGAACCGATGGAATTTTATTACAGAAAACAAATAAGTTTATTTAAAAAAAAATACCGATAGTATTTATGATGAGGGGAATTGAGTTAAACTTCATTGCGCACGTGTTTTAAATGTAAGAGTATTCATTGCGGCGCATTCAATTGTAATTACTATGCGGACAAATGCAGACCAATTGATTAAAAACCGCGCCCAAATTTCAAGTGACTCGGTCAACTCTTTGGTGGCAAAAACAGATGAGCGTGATCATTACCAAGATTTAATAAAATAACTGACAATGACATATTTCACTTCGGAGAAGATGCATAGCCAGTCACACTCTGTAATGATTAATCACGTATTGAAAAATTAAACATAAAATAAAAATCTTCATTATTTACTAAAACATTTTTAAAGCCAAAACATATGATGAAACTCCCCTTGCACATGACTCAAACATGAAAATCATGTCATGTAAATATCTTTCCTATTATCTGCTCTTATCCACATTAAATTGGAAAGTGGGGGCCGATTGTTCCTATCATTCCCGCTCGTCCGTGAATAATCATTAACCTGGAAATGGTTCCTAGATTCACTACATTTATCCTATTGTCCGCAGCTTTCTGTGGATAAGAAGAGTGACCCTAAATTAATTGCAAATTAATATTATCCGAATTTACATGCGAATAGTAGTGGGTAACTGGAGGAAATTTCCTGCAGAGAAATGCAGATAAAAGGACATGCCATTAATGCCTCCCACATCAGCACGGGAAAAGAAGTTTGATTGCTCGTTTTTGATTAGACAAATGTACCTTCCACAGGACTTTGAATGTTTTACAGTAAACAGATTTAAAGTTGCTTCATTCTCAACTGTGATCCAATTTAAAAGATACATTTGTTTGAATCGCCCTCTCATTGCAGGGCAACAGTACAAAATACATGACAAAATGAAAAGGTTAAGGATTCAACTGACCTTCTCAAGCCAGACACCTGTCTCCTCATCAGGACTCCAAATGATCATGGTCTTATCCATTGACGCCGAGAGCAGATTCATTGGCTGACTGCGCTTGCCATCTGTTTGCATGTATACACAATCACAACTACTAAGGAATACACAGACTCCAACAAAACAAGTATTTACTTGAAAGCACCAAGCATATTACATAAAATGTACTCAGCACTTATATAACGAAGATTTTCCATTCCTGTTTTTTAAAACAGTTATGGTTTTCAAAGAAAGAGCACACCCAAAAAAACAGACCTCTTATATTATAGATAGTATAACTAGGCTGTCTGGTAAATGTTTTAGCGTTTCAGTCGTGAAATCAAAGATTTTAAAGCTACTTTAAAGCGTGATACACAGTGCTTCAGTGAAGTAACTGCAGAGATAACAGGACATTTAAAGGTTCAGCAGTCGAACCACAATGATAAGTAACTTACTATCTAACTACAATAGACTCTCGATTATCTGCGCTTATGATGGGGAGGACGGCCGCAGAAAATTCAAAATCGCGGTTAATCCAAAAATATCCATTTTCCGTGGATCTCAATGCCAAAAACCACTAATGTAGGTATAAATTATGTTTAAGTAAATAATAATCGTTTGTTAATGAACAAAACTAAAATTTGTAGGAAAAACTCGACCGATTGATGCGCATGGTCAGTGATAACACTTTCCTGCTCCCGCGCAGAAGACTCGGCCGCTAAATGGATGACCGCAGAGCCATGCTAATCAACATCAATCAAACCCCGACCATTATTGTAAAGATATGCTACTGTACTGTAGGGGCGATCAAGTGGATTTCAGATTCACCAGAGCACATATTTGTTTGGTTTAAGCACGTGACTTGTAATAAACATTTCCAAGTACAACAATGTAGAACTGTTTTTAGATTATTAATTTGGGCTGAAAGGGAAAATCCATGACTTATTCATTTATGTCAAAATCTCAGGTACACAGTTAATCTGCAAATCAGATCAACCGGACGCGGATAATCGAGTGTAGTGTATTTTTATTTTACCAGGTAAGGCCCCACTGAGTTATAGAGCCACAAATGATAGCTTAACGAAGTGGCTTATCATGTGGACATTTATAGCAGCTAAATACTCTAAAGGCATGTTTCTAAATGTGGAGGAAAAACCAGAGGACCGGGAGAAAAAGCCACCCGACCACGGGGAGAACATGCAAAATACAGGCGTCAGGGTCGAGGTAGCCAACATCTCACCACAATGGCATGCCATCAAGATAATGCTACAATGGTTCTTCTAAAAGTAAAATGTTAAGTTTTTCCTCAATCACAAAACATAAACTATTGTCAGATAGCCAGGAAGAAAGGTACATATCACCTCCATGGTGATCAGATTCTCAGGCATGTTTCTTCCTTCAGCTGTCATTCCATTACCATTCTCTTCCATTCTCACCATGACAATTCCCCAACAAGCCCACTTCCCTTCCTTAACAGTATTGTTATGTGTCTAATTGCAATTGTTTACTAATGATTGCCATAACCTCAAAAGGTTAGGTTTTGACTTTGTAACAATTAAGAATATAAACTGAGAAGTTAAATATAATTTTGTAAGAATTTTTTTTATGAAACTGAGCTTTCAAATATTTAATGACTACATTTTATCTTTTGAATTTAGGGCTCCCAGTTCTGGGTTCACATGCCTATGCTATTTCCTAAAATATTTTTCTAAAAGAGAATATCATAATTACTTATGAAATGAAATGCAATGCTATGAAATGTCTTCCCAATTAAGATATCAATGACACATTTGAAACACCATTCACGTATATATCCCCTTAACTATAATTTAATAATTATTTGTATATCATACAAGTTCGTGCTTTATAAACTGTCCACTGTGTATGAAGGGAGTACATTCAACTTGTATCCAAGAGACACCCCTCCGTATAGCCTTAACAGACTGTTGGGGCAAGTGCTGTTAGCAAGCACCTGTTAAGACTGGCACGGCACACGAGGGGGTGGGTGGCTAGCACCACGCCCAGTCGCCTTTGTCTTCCTAGTAGTGATGTTTACACATCGCATCAGGTACTCATTTGTGGCTGAGTCGACCTAGGGGAGGTCCAGGACCGATTCAGATAATCGTCACTGGTGTCGGCCATGAGCGGGAATTTAACTCAGGTTGCTGGGTTCGTAGTGCAGTGCGTTAACTGCTACACTACCACTCCCGACTTTTTAAAACACAAGCAGGGGTCTCACCAATACAAGACGAAAGTAAGCAGGAAGCAATCAGCTTATGAAAAATGTCAGCTTGTCGATATAGCCAAAGCTACTCATTAGGTATTCCTGACGTGGGGTAGCGGAGCCTGCATTCATTTTGCGCATGAGCTGTGGGAAGGCACTCCTCTGTGTGACCTCGGATGCCTCATTCCCCATGCAGTGGCCTTCTCGCAAAAAATCGAAGGAGCCAAAAATCTGGATGTGAAATTAAACCGCGGGCGCCCACATGTCAGATTCCATTAATGAGATTGAATTTCAAATTGCCAAAACATACAGTGTTTAATGTGCAGCCTTGTTTTCAGAATTCGGATAAAGGCTACTTTGTGTCCTCATTTGATAAATAATCATAAAAAAACTAAGTGTAAATCAAATCATCACAATACATAAAAACACTTATGGCAGTGTTGACAAATGTGTTGATTTTTTTAATATATCTGCTTGTGCACTAGTGCCAATACAGTATCACCAAATAATTTGTCCAATACAATTATAAAAACTCTGAGCAGATTTACCATTGTTTAATTGGCAAACTGTAGGTCGAATAAACCAATAAGGTCTAGCAGAGCAATATAATTAAATGGCCAGATACCAGCAATAATATAATCGGAAGGTCTGCGCAGGATTTCAAAATGCTAATGTTACTCACCAAATCCCTAATGAGTTGTGATCATGATCATGTCGATAAAGTGAAACAATCGTTTCTCATGAGCCTAACAATTAATTACACAATGCTACAGACATGATACATTTCAGGAGGGTGTCATGTGTTACAAAAGTATGCACATTGAAAGGTATAATATACCATAGCTTGAATATAGTTTACAAATGTAGTCTATACCTCTAAAACAAACACATAACATAAGGCTCATGTCATGATTGCTTGTCATTATTGATAATGAAATATTCATGAGCCAAACAGTCTTGGAGAACCATCAACAGTTTCCCATCTCTTGAGTATTTTATTTATAAAAAAACTATGTAAAGATTTTAAAAGGCAAAGGTCCCCTGTGTAGCCCTTAACAGGCTGCTGCTGCAAGTGGTGTTGGCAAGACAAAAACCACACCAGGCTGCCTTTGTCTCCCAGTGCTGATGTTTATTACACACCGCAACAGGTACTCATTTAAGTCTGAGTCGACCTAGTGGAAGCACAGGATTGGTTGATATCTGCTGCCACTGTTATTGGATGCGAGCAACAAATGAACTGGGTTCATAGTGCAGTGCGCTAAAAACTGCCCCGCCACTCCCCACATATGTGCATTGAACTTCTTTCGCACCATACTTGGACACCCACACACATACCACTGCCTGTGAACCTCATGTAAAAATGTCTTACTCTAAAAAATATATATAAATACAGATTCGAATGCAAAAAGTATTTCATCATGCAATAGCCATAACTCAGTTTATGTTTAAAGTGACATTCCCTTGAAGTAAAAAATTGCACATCTAAACTGGTGTTACTTATTAATATTACACGCAACACATACAAATATACAAAAATCAGTGTATCAAATTATTTTACAGTTTTCATGACCAGCAGTAATTGTTTGACCGAATGCCGGCAGATTTGCAAGACACCTTAATTAAGCAAGAATAATAAAGATATTCCCAGCGTTTTATAACGCATTACAGCACAGTAGGAAAATGAGCTATTACAAAGTCGCAGGCCCTCTACAAAAAATACAATTCAAAAGAAATCAAATGAGTAATTCCTATCATTAATAATTCATCCACTCTTGAATGAAGGCCTCCCCATGCTGTGTCAGTTATGGGGTTTGTTTGTTCATACTTCATGACGCTCGTCAGTGCAGGTTGGAGAAGAGGGGAAGGCCCAGGTCTGGTTTTGATCCCAATCGCCACCATTAGCCATGGCCGTGAATCGAACACAGGTTGCTGGGTTAATAGAAGTGTACTACCCAGTGCCACTGCTGCAGCCAATACATTCCTTGAAGCATATTCTTAAATATATTTTTGTAAAAAAAACATTGGAAAATTGTTTATTCAGCAATATGTATGGCAATTTGTTTCAAACCTCCGTACTTTTCCCCATACAATTTTAAATGCAGAATTACGAGATGCTTAAACAATTACCGTTGTAATCGAAGACAGTGAAATTTGACAATGAAAATGCCAAAGTACTGTCCACGAATAGTAACTGATGTTTACTACCGAAATTGCCACTTTGGATAATGAAAAAAATTTGCCTATCTGATTTTCTCTGCAACTTTCCACATTTCTGCATTTGAGAGACAGCAGAAAGGACGCAGACCTCGGTATCCAATTAAGACGTAAACCTGCTGTCTACAAAGGAGTATGCATTGCCACACAGGAAACTAGTAAACTGCAACAAGCCATAAGGAATTGGGACAGAGTTCACAAGCAAACTAATTATGAGCTGCTGGGCAGGAATGCTTACAAAAGTAGTCGGACAAATTTTCTATGCTTTATAAAGGTTAAGGCCACACATTGCAAAAGATGAATGTAAGAAAAATATATCGATCATTGTGCAGTACCTTGCCAGACTTGTTTCTTTTTATCGTTAGTAATACGCCTCTGTAACAAATATTGGGTTCTATCTCCATGTATATAAAAGGCAAAGTTGTGAATGTGCGTCTGTTCAAAATGTTTAGCGTACTTCCCGACATGCAACAAACTGAAAATTTGGCATGTTGGTACTTTCCAGACTGTACACCATGCAAAAATTATAAAAATACTTTTTTTTTAGGGGGGGAGCTCAATAATGCATATATTTTTTGCACGGCAAGTGAGCTGTGACGTCAAATCTGTCACGTGACCCTCGCACGTGGAAGCCTAACGCATTGCAGTGTAGTGGTTCGCGCGCTGTGTATGTGTCTGTGTGTGTGTCTGTCTGTGTATGTGTGTCTGTGTGTGTATCTGTCTGTGTGTGTCTGTGTGTGTGTGTCTGTCTGTGGGGAGCGATAGTGAGAGCGGTTAGCGCGCTGCGCTCCGAGCCCGGCGACCCGAGTTCGATTCCCGCTCACGGCCACCACCGGTGACGATTATTTCAACCGCTTCCGGGCCTCCCCTAGGTCGACTCAGCCTCAAACGAGTAACTCCTCTGGTGTGTGAACATCGCCACTGGGGAGACAAAGGCGGCCGGGCATGCTGCTGTCACCCACCCCCTCATACACTATAAAAATGCGTGCTGTATTCCAGAAATGTTAATACCTTGAATCGATGCAGGCTGCCAGTGCACCCCATAAACCCTGTTTTCATGTCCAGCCAGCACTGCTTCCAACTTGACACAGTACAAGAATGTCTGATCTGCAAAGTAAAGAAAAAATAACAATTGAGAAGATTATACATTTGAGCAAAAAAAAATAGATAAGTTTCAAAGCAAGCTAATATTGGTTTAACATTTCTCAAAGTTACCACTTGTCAGGACAGAGAAGGTATTTTCTTTAAGTTTGAGGACCCCTTCTTCCTGTCGTGGAAAAGCCAGCTCCTCTCCGGGTGACTTTGGGGAGACCCTCCAAAGGCGGATCATGCAGTCTTGTGAGCAGCTGGCCAGTAAGAGATCTCCTCCATCTACTCACACCGCAAACCACACCAGGGACAAACGAGCACCAACACGCAGCCTCTCATTTTAGAGCTCAACAAGAAATACCAAAGGGTTAGTCAGGGTCGGAAAAAAAAAATACTCAACACATTCGTCAATAACATTGTGGCCTTAAAAGGAAAATAATATATAATAGATGTTTCAGGCAATGGCCCTTCTTTATACACTTAAATAGAGGTGTAAGAGAGATATGTGGATAATAAGAGTTGAACGCTGCATTTACTCCATGGAGCCTGATAAGAAAATGTTGTTAAACATGTACAAATGTGCACAATGCACTCACATTTTCCCTTTCAGATTAAATGATAAACGACAAGCTGCATATATTATATGCAGTGCAAATTACAGTGAAGCTACCCGCCTTGACAAGGTCGGGCATGGTGTAAGAATAGTGGCAAAATGGCACAGGAAATGTGGTCCCAAATTGCCTGCAATCTTATTAGGCACGTCATTAAACTCAAGTGCAACACCTGAGCACAAAGTTTGTACAAGAAACACAATTAGCACTCAAACTACCTTAATTATCTCTGCTCTTACATTGTTTTGAAGCAGCGATATACCTCGCACAGTGCAGCCTCTCTGGTTTAACTTAATTCTGTCATGAAGAATGGAAAAACCATGCTTCCCTCACAGCAGGAAAAGCAAACAGTTTTAGAGACTGCTCTAGCGTGTATTCCAGAAAAGCACAAATGGGATTGTTATTGCTAATTACCTATCAGCAATATGGCATTTGATATTGTCTGTAATGTTTTAATGCATTATGCAAATAATAATTTATGGATGGCAAATGTCTAAATAATTTGCATCTAACTAATTATGTAATAAATAACACAGCTCATTTCATTCAGCCTAAGCAATAAGCAGTGTCATAAATACAGATATTTCTATTCAGTTATATTTTATATTAGATTACGAATTTTGTTTTCAAATCCACATTAATTGATAAATGTGTTGCATTTAATGGTATTTTTATGTACATGCTGGAATGTTAGGCTATATTGGGTATTATCTACAACAGCAATGAAATCGTGAAATATGTATCTGGTCCTGTATGTTCAAAGCTAGTGTGTGAAACCATAAACATCATATTCTTGGTTCTTTTGGTAAAGTCACGTTGAAGGGAAACAATAAAAGAGGAGGGGGGAGACGAAAAATTAATGTATGCTGTCTGAAAGCCACCGTAACCGTGAACAATCAATTAAGACCCTCCTCTTTTCCGAACATAGATGGACTCGTCATTCTAAACAAACCGTCAAATCGCTATCCGTGGTGCTAACGTTTAAAAATAAATAAATACAAACCGCCACTTCTTTCAAATGTTCTTGCCGTTGGTTTTCACACCTGATGATGACTGTGTTACAGTCGAAACGTCGTGAAAATTTTATTGTTTTAGATATATTTTATTATTTTATTGTTTCCCTTCAACGTGACTTTACCGTAAGAACCAAGAATATGAATCGCTGCAGTCACGAAAGCTTTAAATCAAAACATAATCATGTGAATGGCAATAAAGGAAGATGTGTGCTTACAGAAACCTTTGACACATCAAATTAGCTTTGAAAAAGCATTGCCCAGAAGCAACATTCCCAAAGTGCAATTGAATTATTCTGCAGATAATCTCTCAAAATATTTTCACCAGAAGAACACAAAATAGAAAGTCACTTAAGGATAGAAAATATTGTAAACATGGCTTGAGATGTAATTTAATTATAATTGCAGGGCACACGGCAACACGCAAGCCAGAAGAGAAGAAACGGTCTTGTTTTAAATTAAACAGCGGAGGAACGAAAAATGTTCCAACAAAATGGATTAAACGTTTGTGTTACATTTGCGTCTGGTGCCATCGAACCCACTTGTCTCAGTTCATACCTTCTTGAACAAACTCCAGGCCTTGAATCCAGTCCTCATGTCCAACTAACAACTGCTGCTGGACAAACTGCAGTAAAATACATATTAAGTGTCAATCACCATTATGGAAATTTCTGAAGCAATCAAAACTAAGAGTGTTTAAAATAGCACGGCACATTTACTTCTAAGTGCACACGTTGGAACACCGATTGTAACTTACTTGAAAATTACCTTTTAGCAATGTCCTAACAAAAATAAATTTTTAACAGATTAATTTGAAAGAGTTAATTGGGTATTGTAGGCTGCTGCAACATGCATGACTCAGCAACAAATGCAAAAAAAGAGTTACAATTTCAGGGTGAATAAAAATCAGCCTTTTGTTAATGATGAGTTATGTGGGATAGCAGGTTACACAAGCCATTAACTCTGTTTTTTTTGGTAAAGTCACGTAAAAAAATAATAGGGCACGCCGTTTCTATTGCAACACGAGCAACCGTCATCAGGTGAGAACTGTATTTAAATGTAAGCTCGGAGAGAGACACATATATAGAGAGACAAACACAGACACGGAGAGACACAGAGAGAGAGCGACACACAGAGAGACAAAAACACAGAGACAACCAGAGACACACACAGGAGAGACACATAGAGAGACACACGCAGACAGAGACACACAGAGAAACAACGCCTCTGTGACGAGGTATTATATCGAGAGGGGGGTGGGGCAGATAAAAATTAGCATGTCATTGAGAGACATGGGGGGGATGGAATCTGCAGCAGGGGGCATGTAGAGCCAAGGGGGGAAGGGATCTGCGGCAGTGGGAGAGAATTTGGAAGCTTGATAAATCAAACCTAGTAAACTTAGAAATGTAATGCAATGCAACACAGAGAGTCGGCTAACAAGTTATTTCAAAGATTGCTAAATTTGAAGTTAATTATGAGTTGTGTGGAAATCCTCCCCGTAGATGTGGTTCAATCTTGATTTGAAGCTTTCGTTGTTTCTGTGTCTCTGTGTGTCTCTCTCTCTCTGCGTGTCTGTGTCGCTCCTGTGTGTCTCTGTGTATGTCTCTCCGTGTCTGTCTCTCTCTCTGTATGTCTCTCTCCGAGCTGCATTTACATACAGTTCTCACCTGATGATGGTTGCTTGTGTTGTGATCGAAACGTCGTGTTCTATTATTTATTTTATTTTTTATTTCTACGTGACTTTACCGAAAGAACCAAAGAGTAATTCCTGCAGTCACAAAAGCTTCAAATCAAGATTAAGCCATTAATAAACTACTCCTTTCTCATCGATATAATTGCACAAATAAATTAATTTGACAAAATCAGTTCAACTACGACTCTCCAATGAACACACATCAGTAGATAATTTGCTTATGGGGAAAATTAAACATGGTCATTAGCAAATCCCTACAATGTGATGCTTGTGGAGAATATCTGTACAGTGTATATGCATAACAATTTTGGGAGCAATTTGTAAACAAAAAAAAACACCTGTCGTAAATTGGTAATGTCACAATAATGATGATTGCTGTAGGTCTCTTACTTCAAAACATAAATATTGACGAGACAAAAACACGAGCAATTACTGTAACGAATTAGTAAAACTTGCACAACACTTCACCCTCATTTCCGTCGGCTTGATATTATGCGTGTCATTAAAAAAATACCTTATGCTATAACAAGGACACGTCTCAGAGGGGCTTCAGTGATCCATTTTCTTTTCCTCCCAGTTTACCTGTGCTTTCTTAAAAAACATTCTCTCCATCATGGGACCTCCATTGCCAGTACCAAAATGTGATAACCTTCTCTCCACACGAGTGGATATCGGCTGTATTGTCTCGCCTTCTGTGCTGCAGGAAGCATGCAGCCACATGCATTTTCTTGGCCAGCTGCCTTAACAGGTGCATCCTTTCAATTTTTTGTGCCTATCACTGCCGGCAGAAGGGCCCTCTCCACTAGACGAAGCTCCAGAGCACCTCTAGAGGGTATTTGGCCTGCTCTTCCACGCTCACCAGGCATCTTGTGAAGAGGTTGGAGGACCCGCACCTTACTCCACTGCACGCAACCTGATAGATTAATTGTAGTGGATCAATTGATACTACGGGGTGGTAAGAGGCGGGGGATTCAAGAACCATATGCATCGTTTGAACTGCTGTGCTGGAAGAATAAACTGGTGACCTCTGGATTGTAAGTCGAGTGAGCTAACCATTTTACCACGGCGGAGTCTTAAAGTTTAAGTAAAAATACCCTGCCCTACTTTAACATCTTAGACAAAACACAAATCTACAGCCGATTTGGAATGACAAGACCCAAACTTGATTTGTGAAAAACAGGGAGCGGCAGTTTTATGCTGGGAAATTGACAGCATATTTCTGGGCATTCAACTTCGATTCTCTAAATCGGTCGCTTATCTTGCGATTGAAACGTCGTGAAATATTATTTTTCTACCTACATGACTTTACCGAAAGAACCAAAAAGCATTTTGGAGTTTATTTTTTAGAATAAGGACCAGTTGCACCAGCGCAAATAACAGCATAAATTGGAATCACAAGATCAAGTTAAAAAAAATTCTAGATAAAACACATTTTAGGCACGAGCCAAAGCAAAATTATAATATTACTAAGAGCTATGCTCTATGAAAACTTATGAAACAGTCATGTACAAGGAAACACCCTAACTCAAACCCTCCATCCTCGTTATGGGAGAAGGAAATCATCGTAAATGAGTAGGAGTCATCTGAATTTGTTAGCTAAAGGGACTATAACCTGGAATGTAATGTATAAGCTTTGGCCATAGGCCCTATTGTAGTACAACTACAAAAAGGGAGCTCCTGCATTGAGAAATTGCGTTGCCAGTCATGCTCAAGATCTGGAGGTCATTATGGCCAACACTGCTGAAGCCACCACACCTGGTCATCGCTGTTATTTTCCCTGAAAAGCAACCGTTACACAGTAGACACGAGAACCACCCACATCTCTTGTTACAATATCCCACTATTTGGCTTTAATTCTTACCCTTGGTCTCAAGCCTTTGGATGCGCACTCCAATGGTAGTCTTGTTAACAGGCCATCCACCCTCTCCGACACACATGCTCCACTAAGGCATTATCTTCTTAAATGTTTGCAATGCTTCCATGCACCGTCTATACAAACTTCCTCATTGGTAGTTACCCTTTTCAAACATAAAATCCCTCCTCTTCTTGACATGTACCTGTGCTCAAGGTTAGCTTGCTCTGTAGTTGTTTTGTTAAAGTCTAGCTCTTTAGAACCATAAAGTAATGCAATCATTACTCTTGCCTGAAACATTCATCTGAACACCAAAGTTCCGACCACCTTTACTCTCCCAAAGTTGTTCATGTAGTGCATCAAAAACCTGCCACGGTAACACAATAAATATTTCGACCTTCTCCTCAGAACCCGCCAAACCAAATGTAAACTTTAGAAAATCTATAAAAAAAAATTCACGTGAAGAATAAATCAAGGTGGATAATCCGCGTGATGTTTTCTCAGCTGGTATCAGCATTTAATTTTAATGTGTTATAGCCTCTTGCAAAAACCGCATTGGATGTCGCACTTCAAATCTCCTCATGATGTATCAGAGTACGCTGTGTATTCAAAGTATAAAAGCAAACAATTTTAATTAATTACAAACTGACTGAAAACCAGATGGTCCTTATATCCAGACAAGTCCAGAATATGCCATGCACATCTAATGGATTCCAAGAAAAACAATAAACAGAGAAGGATCACATTGTAAGTCAAATTTGTTTAAGGGTGAGCCATTTATTATATTGTTTTACGACCAGGAACCCATGAAACTTCTGTGGTAAAAGGATGGCGATTATGTAGAGAGACTAATGATTTTACACGGAAATATAGATTTTTCATGTATGCTGAAAAGAATAACAATTATTCACCCCTCTCCTTGTCTCACCCAAATACCGCATGACATGACCAACCTCTTTTTTCTGGCAACAAAACTGAAACCTTTTTACAAGGATTCATGTCTGCATTAACCACAATACCTGCAGTCAACATGCAAACAAAAAACATACTATGATAATATATGCATTGTCCTTGAAAATGATTGGTCCACACCAAGGGACGGCTTCCTTTTGAGCCTCGACCCAATTGGTGCTCGACCAGATGACGCCAAAAGGCGTACAGCTCAAAGACAATGCACTATATCAAAGTAATGAGGGCTCAGGGTGAGCATCTACATCATTAGACCTCCTTTGCCAGTACCAAAATGTAATAATAGGGTTTTTCCCCTTTTTTCTGGCAACAAAACTGAAACCTTTTTACAAGGATTCATGTCTGCATTAAGCACAATACCTGCAGTCAACATGCAAACAAATAGCTATTTCTATGACCAGCCACAAGCTAATCCCTCAGTTATTTCAATGCTAAATTCTCCTGTTTGATTTGTACTAGGTGCCTCTGTGGATGTGTAGGCTTTGACTTTAACATAGCCATTTCTGTGACCAGTCACAAGCTAATCACTCAGCTATTTCAATGCTAAATTCTTCTGTTCGATTTGTACTAGGTGCCTCTGTGGATGTGTAGGCTTTGACTTTAACATAGCTATTTCTATGACCAGTCACAAGCTAATCACTCAGTTATTTCAATGCTAAATTCTCCTGTTTGATTTGTACTAGGTGCCTCTGTGGATTTGTAGGCTTTGACTTTAACATCGCCATTTCTGCGACCAGTCACAAGCTAATCACTCAGCTATTTCAATGCTAAATTCGATGCTAATTCCTTTGTCAAGGCGCTTTGTTTCTTCTCACACAGCTTAAAGGTCGCGATCTGAGGGTGGCTTTGTTCGCTCTAGCGCTGTCCTCGAGACAGTCTCGTCCCTTTACCTGATGAAGGCCGCTTGTGTTGTGGCCGAAACATCGTGAGAATTTTATTGTTTTATTTTATTAATTTATTCTCATTCTACGTGACTTTACCGAAAGAACCAAAGAAGAGAAATTAGTTGCATTAATCATCATATCCCATCAGCGCATCAGCTTGGAGAACCTAAATGCCATTGGACGAGCAAGTCTTTCCAAAAGGAGAAATAACCTGACAATCAAATCTA